CTCTTGTTGGCTTAACCCTTTTTAGCCAATTCATAGGAATTATCACGGCATGTACTTGTACAGCTTAGATGCGACGGTTATGGAATAGAGAATATAGCTTGGTCTTTTCTCTTACCAAGGGTGTTTGCCACGGTCATCCTCTAAGTCCATATTTGTTTGTTTTGTGCCTATATAGAAAGGCTAAGTCAACTTATTCAATCTCAATGTAAGCGGTATAGATGGAAACAGCTCAAAATTAGATCAGCGAGACCATGTGTGTCCCATCTTTTCTCTGCTAATGATCTTATCTTGTTTAGTGAAGCTTCAAATGACCAGATTGAGGAAATGCGACAAATTATGCTACAATTTTGTACCTTCTCTAGACATAAAATTAATCTTGCCAAATCTAATGCCTTCTTCTCCAAGAATATTCATTTTAATAGGGTAATGGAAAAGAGTCAAAAACTGGGCATTGGAATTACTATAGAGTTAGGAAAGTACTTAAGTGTGCCACTCATCCACTCTAGAGTCACTAAAACAACTTTCAACCCAATGGTTCAAAGAATCAAGAAGAGTTTGTCATCCTAAAAGGGTAAATTCATCAATAAAGTAGGTAGAATGGTTCTTATTAAATCTATGTTGTCTACTCTACCAGCCTATCAAATGCAGTCAACTCTTCTTCCTAATGGCATAATCAAGGAACTAGAGCAGGTTAGTAGGCACTTTTTTCTTGGAGTAAGGATAAGGATATTCAAAAAATGGATATGATAGTCTGGGATATTATCTCACGTAGTAAGGCTTCTAGATGTCTCGGTATAAAAAATCTAGCTTGTCAAAACAAAGCATTCATTATGAAGTTATACTAGAGCCTACTAACTAACAAGGATAAACTCTGGGTGAAAATTCTTAAAGCCAAATATTGTTGTGGGGATTATAAGCTACTTAAGATTACAAAGCAGTAAAATTCATCGATGGTATGGAAAGCTATAACACAGGTTTAAGATCTTTTTGAGAAAGGATTGGGGAGGAAAGTAGACAGTGGCAATAATGCAAAATTTTGGAAGGACAAATAGAGTCATTTGGATTAGCCATTATTCTATCTTGCTGACAAAATATTCATCTAATTGAGAAAAGTGTCTTTGTCCATGATTTTGTACTATCTAATGGTATGTGGGACATAAATAGATGGAATCTATTTTTTCCTTCTTGGGTAGTTGAATAACTAAACAAAATCAAACCTCTGAGCAATAGTAGGGAGGATGAGTAGTATTAGACAGCTTCCTCAGATGGACATTTTTCAGTCAAGTTAGCCTATAACTTCATTTCTCATAGAGTTGAGACTAAAGACAACTATTTTTGGAAGAATCTATAGAAGTGGCAAGTACCTAAAAGGTGAAAATGTTCCTTTGGCAAGCTTCTCATGAGAGAATAGTTACTAACTCATTCAAAGCCAAGAGAGGGCTATCAAACACAAGCCACTACCCTTTTGAGTGTAATTATGAGGAGAGTGTCCTTCATACACTTTGTGATTATAAAAGAGCTAGAGAGATGTGGCAATCTTTGATTAACCCTAATGTTTTTGGATGTTTTTTCTCTCTTAAAAAGATATGTAAAGAATTACTTATGGACTAGAATTTTCAGTTTCACTTGTTGGATGATTTAGTTGCAAAATACCAATAACTATTTGAGGGGCAAAGCAAAATGGCTAAGGAAATCATCCATAACTGTCAACACTACTACAAAAAGGCTTTTCTACTACCCTAATTCACATTCCATTTTAAAAATGGGACTTAAAAAAACAAATCAACATCACATAGATAGGAGAGGGAAGTAAATTTAAGAATCTACGTCCCTAAAAGCTAGGTGAAATAGATTCTTTAGAATCTATGTCCCCCAACTGGGAGGGGGACATGGATTCTAAACAATCCACGTCCCGTCCCCCCTGGAGGATGTGGATTCTAAAGAATCCACGTCCTATAACTGAGAGGGGGACGTGGATTCTTAAATCCACTTTCCCTCCCCCTGGGGGGATGTGGATTCTCAAATCCATATCCCCCTTCTAGAAGGGGAACGTATAATATGTTGAAATTTTAGACTCCGTGCACACTCACTTTTTCATTTTTCAAAACTAGTGTGTCAGCTCCCTGTGCTCTATCTCTATCTCCCTCGCAGCTCCCTTTCTTGTCTCAGGTCTCTCATCTCTTTTCTCTATCTCTGTCCCAGCTCCCTCATTTCTTGTCTCTGTCTCTCTTTTCTTAGCTCCTTCCCTCACTCTCTCTCTCTCATCTCTCCCTGTCTCTATCTCTCATCTCTCAGCTCCCTCCCTTGCTCTCTATCTCTCATCTCCCAGCTCCAGCTTTCTTATTGCCTCTATCTCTCTTGGCAGCTCTATGGATGAAGAAGCCCAACCACTCACGACTACGGACCTCTTCTCTTCTCTCCAGGTATTTTTTTTTCCTTGTTTTTTTTATTTTCTTGAACAGGTCTCATGCAAGAATGTGATTTTTGTTTTGACCTAAAATGTGATCAATTAATTTTAGTTTTATATGATGTATATGATATTATGATGCTTAAATTTTGTTTGAGCCTATGAAAGTATGTACTTATTATTTTAGATAATTATATAATTATAGGTGCAATCGTTTTGTTTTTCCATTACATTTGGTATATTTTGTTGTGATAGTGTATAAATAGTTGTAAATGAATTGCTATTTATTAGACTTTTGCTATATGAATTGGCTGTTTCTATGACATATTTTGGCATATTCTATTTTAATTGTAAAGTAAATATAAATTATATATATAAAAAATTTTAAAAACCACGTCCCCCTATAGGTAGAAAGGGACGTGGTTTGTGAATCCAGATGAGAAACCACATCCCTCTTATTAGAGGGGGATGTGGTTTCTTTATAAACCACGTTCACCACCTATAAAAGGGGACGTAGATTTTGTAGAAACCACCTCACTTATTATTAAAAGAGATGTGGTTTATGATATTCCACGTCATAGGCCTTTGCAATGTGGATAAGCCATTATTCTAAGTTGCCCAGTATGATGTCCCCTTCAATTGTGATGTGAAAATGCTTAAAAATGTGACGTGAAAAATCTATTTTGTAGTAGTGCAATACCTTCTAGCAGAAGAAATGGCAACTGATACGTGGAAACATAAGATTTTACATAAGATTTTTGTCACCATGGATCATCAAATACCTAACTGGACACCTCCACCTTTGGATACAATGAGAGTGGACGTGGACGCATTGGAATGGGAATAGAATCATGTCGCATGTGGTGGAGTTATAAGGAATGCTATAGGTGCCTGGATTATGGGTTTTAAGAAAATAATTGGGATGCCTAGGTTCTCCTGCAACTGAGCTTTTAGCTGTTAAAATTGGATTGGAATTAAGCAAAATGTTGGGACTATCCAAGATTCACCTCCACATAAATCTACTTGATGTGGTCAACCTCCTACTAAGGGACAGCTCTCCTGACCATCCATTCAAGGAAGAGATAACAGAGATTAGAAGGGCTCTTTATGATCAATGGGAAGCTAGGATTATTTACTTACCTAGAACAACAATTCGATGTGCTTACTATCTAGCTCGTGAAGCTTACGCCAGCAATTTCAATGTGGAGCCGGTGAAGGATGTACTGCTGAGGTGTGCTCATATTTTTTGGAAAGATATATAGGCAACATTTGCCACCTGTTTCATTGTAATTTAGGAGTTGTCCTATTTTAATTTTCGGTGTTGTTTTATTCTCAAGGTGATGCTTGCTTTTTAATTGCCAAAAAAAAATAGGGTGTCTTAATTAAAAAACCTTGTTAATTATATTCTTAGTTAAGGGTATTTTTGAACAAAAATTCATTAATTGCACCTTAAAAGATCCAAAATACCAAATATTTTTTAACATCTTACCTTATAAAAAATGCCTATGTATTTTTTAATGGAGAGAGTATATGAGATATCGATACTTCTAATGTATTACAACCTAAGATAAATAGAAAAGAGACACGCACAGAGCGGAGCGCAGAATGAAATGAAACAGTGTTAAAGTCTCAAGCAGCAAAACACTGTTCCTTCGGATAATACGTTTACAAAGAGATGGATAGTTAAAAAATAGTAGGAATGTAAACAAAAAGGGCTTTGATTCCTTATCCCCAAAAGAGAACAAAGCTGAAGAAGCATCAGAGATTGGGGTGTCAGCAGAATCTTGCTCAATTTAATCCTTAATTGCTGTACGTCTTCTCAACTGAGCAATGTCTGGCCATCAGTTCGATCCAGAAATTACAGAGCAATGTTCACACATGCGTGATGCCTACACACACCATAAAACATTCTACCAAACTTCTTAACTCCACCCCCTACGCTCCTCTATCATCTCATTTCATTCACTGCAACTTCTATTTATAAATCTGCTTAATTAACAAGCTTAAGTTATAAGATGTTACAAGTTCATAAGAAAAAATATATCGTGATGTAAGCATCATGATCATTCATAAAGCTCTAAACCCAAAATAAGAACTCACATCATTTTGTTTATTAATTAGGAGAGTTTTAATCTTGACTTCCACTTACATCCTATCACGTATTTTATCAGCTGAGTACAAGAGACGGGAGATGGCAGAACACAGAATTTGGGTCTTCTCCATATCCTCTCTCAATACATTTAGTTCTCTATATCCAATCTGATCCTTTTAATTATTCATTTGATTTAATTTAATAGTATAAGATTGCTAATTATCTAATTTCTATATACAGTTTAGTTCTCAATTGTCATACATATTACTAGTAATATTTTATGACAGAAAAAGGTAGTAATTATTACACCGAGGCAAGGCAATAATTAGTTATATTCAAGAAAATACAAAATACTCCACATAAGCATGCGTGGTTATGGGATGACATCACGACGCTAATATATTACCTTGCCTTTATTGGTAATTAACTGAGACCTATTCTCCTTAATACAATATAGTACTCCATTATGATAAATATAGAGGTTGGCTTCATCATTATGCATCACAACTCAGGGAAAGCAGCAGGTGATCGGGGAAAATCATTGACGAAGCTGAGAATGGTTTCCCAATAATGCTTCTCCTCAAAGTTGGCGCTCTCTCCTTCCCCATCATTTAAGACTCCTAGGTTTTGCTGTGGCCAGTTCTCATTGATTCCATACACCAACACATCGTCACCTTGAAGACCTTCCATGGAATTATTATTACAGTTATGCCCTTTTGATGATCTGAATGCTTCCACTGCCACCATAATGTTGCCGACTTCCAAGCTTCCCACCGTGTTTTCCCATGGTTCAGTACTGCCGTAGTCGTTCGCTTCTTTCATAGCTCCACCCTCCCCAGCAGTGTTGGTGCAGTTGGAAGAAGAAGGAAGTAAGCTTTCATTGATAAGCCCAAAGGTGGTTATCATATTACCATTAGTAGTGTTGGGGTTGAGGAAATTGGTGTCCGGGAAGCACAATGTCGACGTCGGTGACTTGAGGTTGTCGTCGGCGGCGAGCATCATGGCGTACATGGGGATGTTATCTGGAGTAGTAGTCGAAGTTGAAGACATGGATGGCGATCGTGAATTCTGCCATGCCTTGAGCACGTCGAGGAATGGAGGCATTGCGATCTTGTTGAGCACAAGTCGAGTCGTCGGTGAAGGCTGGGAAGAGAATGAGGAGCCGAGCCGGTTGATCTGAAGCTGCAGCTTGGATTCTTTGACTAGTCTGGTTTCAGCTTGGAGCCGGGCAGTTTCCCACTGAGCCATATGGTTAAGGTTGGCTGAGTGGCCGTGTACGGTGTCGTTTATGGGTTTGTGAGTGGTGGGATCTATGCCCATTCTAAGGAGCTTCTTCTTGAGGCGGGTGTTCCAGTGATTCTTGATCTCATTGTCTGTTCTTTTTGGCAAGTGAAGTGCTATAGCTGACCATCTTGTATTGTACGTACGTGCATTATTATAAACACACAAAAAAGAGAATTACACTTAGGGAGGTAAACTTGTCTTCATCATGTTTGCTTTTTGAGGAAACTGGATTGAAAATGGAATCATTATGGTTGACCATCAATTCAAACACAGAAATTTGTTGTAAACAAACAAGGGTTTTGATACTTACCTGTTTCCAAGAAAAGCATGAAGTCGAATGATGGTTTGGTCTTCCTGTGAGCTGAACTTGCCTCGTTTGATGTCAGGCCTTAGATAATTAGTCCATCTTAGTCTGCAGCTCTTCCCACATCTCTGGAGTCCTTTTAGTTTCCAAAACATAAAATGCAATTCATTCATCTTCCCTTAATTTAACACATAAATATTTAATTATCTACTTATGTTTTCATCTACTGTTTCACAATGCAAAAACTCCAGAAAATGGTCTGTCATGGTTCCTACATCAGTTTAAAGAGTTCCATCTCCTAACAGGCTATTTTTTGAGATATGTAAATTCTTTTTTAAGATTTATGTTCATGATATTGGTGCTTTTATTAAAATGTTGGTATTAGAGAAAGAGCTACTCATAAAGAGTTCTAACTAGAGAGAGAGAAGTTGGGGAAATGTTATAGAGTAAAGCCATCCAGGATGTCCGGCTCTCAAAGAGATAGCATTATCATCAATCCTACAGGGTTCTCCCCCCTAACTGCAGGCTAGTATTCTAGGATGAATTCCTATAAACTTATACTCATGACATAGTCATTCAAGTAGTCAAATGTTTGATTTACTGATTTATTAAAAGAAGAAACATTTTTTCTTTCCGAGAGACTCAGATGATCCAGAAGGTTAAAGATGGAATAGATTCAGTAGTGTATTATTTGGAGAGGGAATGAGGTACATACCAGCTTTTGCAGGCAAGGAAAACCAACTTCCATGGCCATGTTGCTGAATGTAAGCCATGAGCTTCTGGTCTTCCTCAGAAGTCCATGGCCCTTTCTTCAACCCTACCTTCTCACCGCGCGACGATGAGTTCGATGACTTCACCATCTTTAATTCCCAGTTGGGAAATGCTTGCTGGCGCGAGAGAGAGAGAGAGAGAGATCAGCTATAAGTACAAGAGACGGAGTGAGCTAAGAAACAGATGGATCAAAGTTGAAATTAAGGAAGCCGGTGGCGAAGATTGAGACTATCTATATATATATATATATATAAACCCTTAAACGGTCTCCGGAAAATGCTGAAGAGAAAGGGAGTGAGGAAGAGTTCGACTGACAGAAGAGATAAGTGACGAAGCTAGAGCAAGTTGAAAGAAAAGCAGGTGAAAGATTCAAGTTATAATTAAGTACCCGATCTCTCTTCTATATGTGACGTAATACAATAACGTGGGCGTGCGTGAGTGTCTATATACCTATATATAAGAGCTATCGAGAGCTGTGCAGTTAAAAAGAAAGAAATAAATGAAAATAGACAGAAGAAAAAGAATCCATCTGACCGATATTCGTCGTACTCATATAAAAGACATTGTACATTGACATTTCTGCTTTCAGAGTAGGGTTTCATATCTTATCATTTTGGCATGCATATTTGCACACAGTAGTCCATGGTTTTGTCTATATATGGTTTACGCGGTATCCCTGACATGAATTTTGGCCTTCTAAAAGAAAAAAACATGCATGTGGTCTAATCGAAGAAGTACTCATCTGACATCAGTACTACACATATGAATATGGGTGACAACAAAGGAAGTCGTATCTACGGTATCTAAGATTGGATGAAGAATTATGGAAGCGATGAATATTTGATATACTCATAATAGTCCTATAGATGTATGAGTTCTTTTTTAAAAAAAAATTATGATCCTTTTTATAATTTTTTTTACATAAAAAAAGTGGATTATTAATTATTTTCTTTCAATCTTATATATCCTTTCATAATTTTATGCGAGTAGAAATCAAAAAATTATAGGAGAGAGAAAATATTTTTAATGATAATGCATTTAATAAAGATATATTGAAAATTTTCTATATACATATATATATAATATCCATAGTCTAATAATCTACTCCCTCCGTCCTTATATTTTTAACTAAATCTTGTATGCTGATAAAAGTTTATTATTTAGTTGAATTCATATAAAAACACAATAATTTTTTAGTTTTACCTCTAATAATATCATGGTAGTGGTAGGGACAATTAATGATCTATTTCATTTTTTAAGATAAGAGTAAAATTATCTACTTATTCAAAAATATTATCATCACCTCTTATATTTAGGGATAAAAAAAACTTTTAAAAAATATCTTATATATAAAGACGAAGGGAGTAACTACATTTTCTTAGTTTTAGTGAAATAGTCACTTTTTATATATAGGATTAGAGGAGTGCACAACAACATTAGATAAGGTTGGGTACATTAATTACATACAATGTTGTCGTGCTTTATCAACAACTAAATTTTTAAATATAAGGTTAACTAAAAGATTTCATTCCATAATTTCATTAAAGTTTTTTTTTTTGTCTTTCTTTACATCTTTTGGACCATAATCAAGGGCATCATTTAGAAGATTTGTCTAATCCAGAATATAGGTTATTAAATAATTTTTATAATTTTTTTTCAACTATACTACTCCCACTTCACTTTTTTTTTTAAAAAAATGATGCATTGTAATTTCAATTATCATTATCAAGGCACTTACTATATAAAATATTTAATGAAGGTATAACTAGAAAGATGCAAAATTATTTAAGAGATTAAAATTTTAACTAATTTTTTTTAAAATATTACCAATACTTCCAATACTTCATATTATAGTTGAAAGGGAGTACTTATTTTCACTACACTTAAACTATATACTCCACCCTTTTTACGGATATCTCCAAAGCATATGAAAATAATTCCAATGCGAATTTCAAAGCGGTGAAACAATATATATATATATATATATATGTATATATTTATACACTACTATATCAGATTTTATAACGCTTCAGTATTATCATTACAGTACTTACACCATTTGAATTTCACGGTAGAATATTGCAATTCAAAGAGATAGTATGATAATTACTTGAATAATTTATTCTTTTCTTGATAGAGATAACCATTCGAAGTAACTGTACGTACCAGCTCTGCAGCTCATTTATATGTGTTTCATATTTTTATTATCTTTACACTGAATATATGTTGTAGATATATTATTAATTGAATAAAATCCCGTACAAAATGGGAAATCAGAATTAATTGTATTGATAACAAACATGTGAGTCCAATCAAACATATTTACGTCTCTGTGTTTACTTGTTCATCAAATTTAATTTTACAGCGCTTCAGTTTAATGCATTAGTAAATGCGTGCGGTAAAACATGCCAGAAGGTTCTTTCCAATTACGACTGCATGTACCATCTCATAAACTTAGCTTCAACCTTTTCTCCCCATAGGAGCCAAAATTATTAAGAATCAAGAAAAATCTCCACTTAAAAAAATACACTTTTACTAAAATAGATTTGATGAACAAACCATAAATCCGGATGAAGAGAAACAAGGCAAGCATGGTTGGAATTGGATTAATGGGAATTTAAAATTTGCGCCAAATCCCCCATTTGAACACATAAAAACTTTGAATTGAATAAACTAAAATTTATCAAATTCATTTCTTATTATAATTTTTTTATAATTTCACATTTCCTTGCCATTCTCATCTCTTGTTTTCATCTCTCACCAGTTAAAAACTATACTTAATTCGTTATTCCTAATTTTTTTTTATTTTTACTTCGAATGTCAACCCATCTTCTTCTTTCTTTAAAATTTTCTACATTAATCAAACAAAGGATTTAATATATATATATATATATATATATTTTTCAAACAATCTATCAATTCAAACGCTATGTAAAGGTATAAACGTGGCTTTCCTTTTAAAGAATTTTTGGGCTATATGGACGAGTATATTTTACCAATAGTCGAAAGAAGAAAGAGCTCTTCGGATATTTTTTCTAAAAAAAACTATGATTTTGGATTCATAATAGCTTTTAGCATGTAATAGAGTTGTTTGAATATATTTGTCTTAAAATCATGGTTTTACATAATTTTTATTTTTTTTCAATCATACTCAAAATAAATCTGATAATTCAATTTCATAAACCAATTAGCACAAAACATGATTAATTATATTTAAAATCAATAATTTAAATCAATGTTATCCAATGTTAATTCAAACGGACTGCCATTTAATGAAAGGGTGCCAATATTTCAGTCATAGGAAGTGTCTAATGAGAAATACTTAAGTAGACTAGCGCATCATCTCATTTGTAGTCTGTCCAATTAAAATGCTCAAAGAAATTTAAATAAAATCTTGTATGGCATTTTTTAAATTAAGTTTATTTTTATAATAGAATGCACACGTAATTTCTTACCTTTTCTTTCTCTACTATCCTTAATATCAGAATTAATTTATATTTAATGCTATTTAAATGTTATGTTTTTATTGAATCAATAATCATAAATGATGTGGTACACCAAGTTTACTTAAGTATTTTTTGTGTCTAATTGGTGCTATTATTTATAAAAAAATGCCACAGCCATAAAAACTGCTTAAAAATGTTGCTTAATTTGCAATCAAATTTCTGAATTCACGATTTCGACAATAATGAATAGTAACCTCTTCATCAATCGGATACAAGAATCGGAACAGAGCTTTGTTTTTTATACAATGATAATTGGGTCCAATATATCCTCCGGCCCAGATGGTTTCCATAATTCGAGAAGCAGCCCATTGGGTTAATCTATGACAATTTCACCGCTAAAACTTCCGAGTTGCGGGTGGTTGGTGTACCCCATCAGAATCTTCACTTGGATCGTCCAAAGCCCTTGCATCTTGCTTCTCCAGGTGGCAGAATCTGATTGGTGCAAACTAATTTATGATTGTGTATTTTTAATCAATAAATCAAGATTTGGACGATTAGCTTTAACTTCATATAAAAAATTTTATTGTATTTTGTTTTTACTATATTTTTTAATTGTTCATATTAAAATTTAATTGTTTTTTGACCTCTATTAAGGGTGAAACAGTCTTTTAATTTCATTTCCATATATTCAATATGCATTCCAAACAAAAAGTACTCATGAATTCCATCTAATTTATATGATATAGTAAACACGTTTTTTGAACCCAGTTTCCATTTTTGACATCCACTTTTATTTCCATTTTTAGTATACCAAACATGCCCTTAAAGACAGGAGAAGGTAATGTTTGTCATGTTGGAATCATATGTTAACACTAACTCTAATTTAGACAAGGATTTTAGTAGCATTCTTATTTTCCATTTGAAAAGTCTTTCAATAACTTAATTCTTTCCAACCTATGAGAAACTTTTTGCCTTTTTTAGTGTTGGCTGCTATATAGTGGAACCCCATCCAACTTGGATGACTAACCTGATCTAACCTTATGTTTGGGTTGTCTCAAGTCAAACTAGGGCACGGGTTTTTTTTTTTTTAAAAGGAGAATATTAATTAAAAAAAACTTTTGCAAGAATTTTTAATAAATAAAAATTAACAAATTAACAAGTGAAATTTTTAATTTAACAAATATCTGATTTGTCTTGAATTTCTATAAGATATTAAATTTTTTCAAGATCCTTCATTTATACTTTCCATTAAACCTGATTTTTGTGTACCCTTAATTGCAATAAAACAAATTTGTGTGACTTAAGTACGAGGATTTCCAGCATTAGGGAGTTAATTGTAATTTTTCGATATATCCACACCTGTCATATATATCATTTCATTCTTTTTTATAATTTTTTTAATCTGTTATATATAAGTTTAATTCCATTGATCAATTCCTGATCTTAATTAAAGGGAATATGATTCCAGAAATAAGTTGAAGAATCATCGATGATTGGCCTGGTACGTTAGGACAGAAGCACCAATAATGCTCTTGCGTACTCAACTGGGACAATAATATCATCAATCCCAAAACCCAAAAAAAAAAAAAGAAAAATTTTATTTAAGAAAGCAAAAATGACAAAAGAAGTCCTCTAAATATGCT